ACATTTCGTGTCCATTTCGACTTAGCCACATTTTCTTGGTATTTAACTATATTTAGTGAAAAAAGGAAGAATATCATTTGAAATAATGGCGTGTGTAACGTCATTCTGTTGACATTCGACACCTCGTATTTGGATTGATTAGCATTCAAGAGGAGGAAGAAGAAGGCGAAATTTCGAACTTTTTTTTCTTGAAATTTCTCGATTATGACTGGTTTGTTCACATTTTCATTATCAAATTCGTGCTTTTCAGACAAAAATACGTAAGTACCAAAACTAATGCAATTTCACCCTTATGTGGCTGAGACGAAATGTGGCCGAGACGAAATGTGGTCGGAACGAAATGTGGCTGAGACGAAATGAGGCTGAGACGAAAAGAGGCTGATACGAGATGTGGCTGAGACGAAATATAGCTAAGACGAAATGGACACGAAATGTGGCTGAGACGTGACGTGCTGAGAGGAATATGCTTTTGATTTATTAGATTCTGTCAAATTGGAAATTGGGATAGTATGTGGCAACAGCGCATCATTCGAGTATGTTCGGATTCTGTGGGCCAGACGAAATGTGGCTGAGAAGAGATACTCTCTCAGCATGTATGTACTCTGAAACAGAACGCCCTGGCCAGCTCATTCACCCGATGTGACCCCGCCAGACTCGTTTCTCTAGGGATATGTCAAGAACTATATTCATTGCCATGAGCAAGCCTTCAAACCCGAAGAAGAAATCAGGATATTTGCTGGTTCAAGAAGCATTACAAAATATATGACGTCAGAAATGTTTGACATTCAACAGTTAGATTATGTTTTGCATGCTTAGAAAGCAATTGCATGCAATTCACACATCTCCTGTCAGTTGCATATATAATAGTAATATATAGAATATATGTAATAATTTTGACATTCGGAGAAGTTTTTGTTCTGTGCATCTGTCTTTCTGTTTTTTACTGTTAATTTTTAGTAAATTATTGGTTATTCACGTAATATAAAATGCGGATCGATGTTGATGTAGCATTGTCAAATGTTCAATTTTATGAATATTTCTCAGAGAAGTATGAAAGATTCAGATCAGTATTCAAATAGTTACATGATCATGGCGAAATTCAGCTCGAAACGCATCAAAATCTCAACATGAAGCATATCGTCGGTATTATAATAGAGCAATGGCGATTCGAAGCTGATATCAAAATATCAAGGCCGTATTTAAAAAATGAAGGTGATGATGGTTGCTCAAAGACGAAAAGTTGGATTCTAAAATTCATGATTCCAAATTGAATAGCATCTAAAGTTGCCACGAGGGTGTTTTTCAGTTTTGTCATAACTTGATTATTAACGCCAGAAAAAAATTAATAAAAAAATCATGTTTCTGAAAATAACTTGAAAACGAAATGTCAAATCAGAGATTATTGGTTATTATCTTGTTGATGGTTCTTCTCTTGCGCAACTCCTTATATCTTGTGCACAAAAAAATTCAATCGAATTTAATATACAGATATTCTTGATGGTGGATGAATATGGGTTTAATGGCGAAGGTATAATTTTTTTTTTCTCTTTACTGTCCTAATATTGCCGATATCATACAAATTTTGAATTTTTCATGCTATATACTCAACCTGACGATTGACACAGCAGGTCACTGAGGCGTTTACGTTAGTTATCAGAAAAACCACCAGGAAAGGTTGATTCGAGCGAAAGTTTGCTTCTAGAAAATGTACAGTACAAATAAAGGCGAAGAAAGATGTCACCTACAGATTTTTGAGACTATAATGTGAGGTTGGACGAGGAAGGATAGGAGAAGGATCCGGAAGGACGGAATATTTTTGACTAAGAATTCACAGGTAGATATATCTGAATAATTAAAAGACAACAACTGTGCACCAAGGGTTGAATACAAAAATCAATTCATTTTTTGAACCTATAACCATCGCTTCGTTCTAATTGGTACACGGTAAGGATTCCTATTGAGTGATACTTTTCGTCAAAATAGAAATGCCCAATTAGTAACATCAAGAAAAAAAAAAGAGCTCTTCTGAGACATTTTGTGTCAGTATTATTCAAAAGGTATCTATTTAAAATGTTCACACAATCCGGCGGGGACGTGAATTGACAAAAAGTTGTGTGGACCTGGAGGTAAAAACAACCCAACATTTTTCACCGTGTATAAACATAACACATGCTCCTACGGGAGGAAATGAGAAATCCATGGTATATGCCAATATTCTAGTAAAATTGCTGCAATGGTGAATTGTGATAACAATCCTGTTACCCGCAAAACTCCAGAATTAACCCATCCTCGTAGTGATTGAGTAACATCGTGGCAAAACCGAATATCTGTCGATGTCATGTTCGATATTCTCACACCCACCCCAATAATCAGGTAGAAAGATATCCCTAAACTCTGCCTCGTAAGTGATGGAGTGCCTGCTATCTAGCGGCGCCAGTGTTGCCAGGTATTATAAACTTTCATGCGCCTGATTTGACAATAGAATGCGCCACTAAAGCGCTACCTTCCAGAAAAGGAAGAAAATGGGGAAAATGCTGACTCGGGCTATATTCCGAATTCAAGTAGTACTGGTCAGTACTGTCAGTAAATCCATCAACTCTGCTGGAAATCTGTGCACCGAAATATACAATCAAAAATACAGTGCTGTAATTCGAAACACGTTTCCATGCGATTTATCAGCAATCAGAGCAGTTGATCAGCCGCGGGGAAATTTGAATATTATTCTTAGCGTCAAATATTTCAATAACGGGTATTTTCTGATGATATTGGATATGATAATTAATTAGTTATTGATGAGGCAAGACTTGCTTACTGAAAAACAACGGAAATTATTGTGACATATATACCTTCTCCTTCTAAAACCATGACAGTTCACTGTAGCATCACTATATACCTTTCGATAGAGCAGTGGAATTATAAACATCTCAGTCAGCATTTTCAGCAGAATGTTGAGTGGAAATATTTGAAATGAATATATATGTCTGCTCACCAGTCTCTGTCACTTTCAGTAGATTTTTTTGATTTCGGAATGAATAATCAGCAGATTCAGTACTGTCAGTTGAATTCGGAATATAGCCACAGTATAACCAATTTCGACCAAACTTCCAACTACAAAACGAAAGAGTCAAATCTGTAGAACAGGAAACATGAGTGCCTCTTTTGGTTACAATCAAAACTAAGTATTGAACCCTCCAATACCTACCTCCTGTCCCTATCCTCCCTATGAACGCACGATGTTCTTTGAACATTATAGGGATTTTCTTTCGTGCGCTTCAAGCGATTGAAAAAGATCATCCAAGAGGAATGAATATCGCATACGAAATTTCCATTTCGTAAGCATTTGATATGATTATACAAATGGAGGTGGAACATTCATTATTCCAGATTTTTTGAGATTTTACCTCTTCGTTTCTATATGAATAATATGAGTATAATTTCAATATTTCATCAATATTCCAATATTCGTGTAGTAGGGGCAAAATGTCACTGCATTTGAGATATGAGAGCCCAAAAGAAAAAGAAACAGGGAGAAAAAATCCAGATGAGTCTGGAGAAATTAATAGTTGCCTATACCTATGATTATTGTTTTTTATTTTGCAATTCTAAATTATTTCCAAGACAAAAACGGTCTTCAGCTAATAATGCTAATACGTTGATACAGAGTTCGAATTTCAAAGCGACACTTTTTGCGCAAGGCGCGCATTTAGTTTTTTTTATGTTCTGGTTCTCACGAAAACGGATATCCTGATGTAGTGTGCAGATAGAACATTGTGAGAACCAAGAGAAATAAGGTAGGAATTGGTGTTCTTCTCAAATTTCTGGAGGTTATATGCCTCGGGGAACACTTCCCTTGACAATGTGTTCCAGAGCCTTGCTGTTCGATGGATAAACGAGTCTTTGGAGACAGATATTCTGCAGGTCTCCAAATTGACCACGAAATAAGGATGCGAAGCCTCAACTCGACGGGTCAATCTCGCGGGGACTGCCAAGGGAGGAACAATTGTAGATATTTCAGAAGAGCATCGTCCATGAAAATATCCAAAAAATAGAGCCAGATCGCTAACTTGGTTACGGTGTTCCAGAGAAGTGAGTGAGTTTGTGAGCGATGCATCACCCACGAGACGAATTGCCCTTTTCCAACAGTTTCAGGGTATGTTTGGGTGCTGCATTCCGAATATGGGAACAATATTCCGGGACAGGTCGGATCTGTGCCTTATAGATCATAATCAGCTGACTGGAAGTGAAATAGGTCCTGGCCCGAAACAGAAAACCAAATGTTTGGGATGCACTTTCAGCAGGTGATCTCACGTGATTTTCCCAAGAAAGGTTATTGCTGATAGTAATACCGAGCATCGAAATGGATTCCTCAAAGGTATGGTTAAGAGAAAAGGCATGCTTGTGTTTTGTTTGCATTGAATTCTACCAAGTTATTGGATCCCCATTCAAAAAATTGTTGTCAAGTCCATATTTATGTTGTCAACATTTCTCCCTCGTTCGTTTCTGATTTGCCTGGCTGGTATTGGAGCCCTGGAAGAGAAGGCGGTATGGAGCTGTGTACTGGACATGAAGTTGCTTCCAACAAATCGTTGATATGGAGTAGAAATAGTGTTGGTGCTAGAATTGATCCTTGCGGAACACCAGCATTTATGATAAGAGAGTCAGATGAAACGCCGTCGACCACTACATGGAGAGACCTGTTTGAGAGAAAACTTGAAATGATCACGCCATTTTAATTTCGATAGCGCCACTTTGACGCAAATGCGCCACACCTGGCAACACTGAGCGGCGCTCCCGAACAATCCCCCTCCACTCATCCCGCTGTCATCCCCACCCCTCGCGTGGCGCCAATGACACGCCTCGTCGTCAGCCCGCCGCCAATCGCGTTTGAGGTTTTCCAGTCGATATTTGTTAGTTTTGTCGTCTTTGTTGAGAGGAATCAGCGGAATGATCGCTATAGCGGAGCGATAAATGGCTATAGCTCCATTGTGTAAGAGATTCTGTTAACATGCCGCTGGTGCGATATCGGCGTCTCTGTTCGACGCTGGCGTCGCTTTGGCATCTGTATCGGCTCGTCGAGAGACGCTTTGTTTTTCGCTTATCGATCGCACACCTTTTGCCTTTCTTGGATTGTTCTCGCGCTGTCTTCAGTGTCTTCTGACCTTATTTCAGCTGATACACAGATAAAAAGGATTTCTTGATTCAATGCGGAATAGTATTGATTCAATCATGTGGCGTTCTTGAATAAGTTCATCCAAATATGTGTTCGATTTATGCACAAAACTTTCTTGACTTATTCATGAAAGGAAATCTTGATTCGAATGGATATTTATTTATATTGATAATAATAAATGATAATAATAAATCGTCTTCATTCATCACAGAAAGAACATATATAGGTAGGTACTATACATCAGAAAATATACATTAGAAAATTTATTGGTATGTGTGATGAAATGGTGAAGTTATCACAATACGTATTGGATCGAAGAAATAAGAATCAATTAGGTAGTTCGGAATAAAATTCTTCTATATTGTCAAGTTAACCTCACATCATATTTGAACAATTTTGTTCTAGAATCAAGAAATTTCGAGCTTGTTACAAATAGATAATATCTCATTATAATAAGTGAATATTTTTTCAGAAGATCCTTATTTCCTTGTGCCAAGAGATTATATCATTTTGAAGTAAATCAAAATATAACTTACTTATAGAGTATTGAATGATGAATAAAATGAATTCTCACAGTTGGTAAACAGAAGGCTTTACTATCAAAACTTGGTCATCCTATCATAACATAACAAAAATGTTAAAATGTAGGTATCATATGAATCAAAACATATACATATAGTGAAATCATCAAATCGAATAGGCTTGAATGTTGAAACACAAAAACCTATATAGAGATCAATTTAAAAATGCGTTTTGTATGTGTTTTGCAGAATGACTTGTTGAATGGGAATCATTATCCGTATATAAGTACTTATATAGAACTTGCTTGAGATGGAACAGCATTTTCCATTTATCACAGCCAGGCATTGTCGAAAACAAACGAAATTTGAAGACAACCAGATATTCTTTGGTTTTCACGAGATTCATTGGCATTGTTGAAACTTTTCCAGATGTGTTCAAAAATTGATAAGATAGGTATATGAAGAATTTTATATTTCAGGAGTACCTACCTCGCAACAAAGAATCAATTTTAGAGGAATGCTTCCCAAATAAGATGAAGATGATTCTCGGTGTAGATTTGAGCTCCAGCGGAGGAAGACAAAAAACCGAGAAATGAAATCTATTATATTTTCCGTGTGAAATACATTTTTTTTCTGTGACAGGAAAAAGGACGAATCAATATTGGGAAGATATTATATATATTATATCAAGATAAGAAAGCTATTGACGTGAAATTTGAAGTGTCTTACAGGGATGACGCACCCTTGCAGGCATCTTTATCATTTTTTTGACGTTATCAAATGTCTTATTCTGTGATTTGATCTCGAGAAGTTGCGAATTTAGTGGTGATAAGTAATTAACGTAACGGCGAATTCGAATGGAAGATAAAAGGATTTGCAGTTCTTTCTCAGGGACGGTGTTAGTAGGTATACAAAGCGGATTGGTCGCCAGAGCTTCAATAAAATGCCGCTAGTTAGCGTTGGCGCTGGTGTCGCTGGTGTCGCTGGTGGCGCGAAGTTCAAATTTGCAGATGGCGGCGGCGCTGATGGCGGTAAATTTGAAATTGTGAGGTTATGACATCTTAATCATGATGAATTTTTAAATAAATAAATTAAAAAAAGCTGTCACCGCCGGTGGGGGAAATTGAACCAGGGACCTTTGCATTATGAGGCAGCGTATATACGCACTGCGGTATTCCGACCTCCGTGATATTTCAATTATTTAAATGCTATTCAAACGGGATATCCATAGCTGACGCGCGCTTATCTTTGCAACGGATCCATCGAGGTAGAGTGAAGCGAGAGATGCATTCCAGAGATAAGAAACTTCGAGTCGAAAATAATATCCATCGCAGGCGCGCGCGCTTATCTTTGCAACGGATCTATCGAGGTACAGTGAAGCGAGAGATGCATTCCAGAGATAAGAAACTTCGAGTTGAAAATAATATCCATCGCTGGCGCGCGCGCTTATCTTTGCAACGGATCTATCGAGGTAGAGAGTAAGGCGGCTCGAGCGCGCGGTGCTGCAACGTTGTCGGACGTATGTGTTTGGATGTTAATATTGTTACATTATTGTGTGTGGCAACGCTGTCTCGCTTCATGGCGTTCGAAGATCTAGCAAAGCGAGAGATCCCTTAGAATGATAAGCGCGCGCGCGCTCTCTCTCGTATTGGAAACAAATACTTGGATTATTTATTTATTTTAAAGTGGGTGACGTCATGCCGTTACCTTCATAGCGTTCGAAGTTCCAGTAAAGCGAGAGATCCCTTAGAATGATAAGCGCGCGCTCGTATACCCATTCCTCAAACTGCGACTTTAATGACAATAACAAGATTGAATTTTCATATACAGGGCGTTTGAGTTGATTGATAATAGAAAAAAATATATATACAGGGCGGCCCATGGGGGTGAAAGAATACGAAAACGAAGATAAATAATCTATTTATTTAAGTAATCCTTTTCTACAAAAATGACATGCCTCTTGAGAAGATGGCGGTCCATCCCAGTGTGTGGTCCAATCGGGACGATTATAATGAACGAAGCATGGCAGTTTGATTTGTAGGTTAAAGTTGCTGCGATATTCTTGAGGAAGTTTGTGCCACACCCTTAATAGTCCATAAGGATCTGCATATTCAATGAGACATTCTACTGGAATGTACTGCAATTCTTGTTCAGTGAATTTTAGCAGAGTGGTAGCAGGAGATTTCAGGAACTCTAAGAGCACAGCTATTTCAGATTTATAACAGAGTGTCTCAATACTGGAGACTGGATTGCTTTCAATATCAATAGAACGTGGGAGAGTTTTAAAGAGTGAAAATTTCGCTATAATCGACACCAAGCATTGTGTGTCGAGAAATGCGGGAAATTCTTGAATAACACCAATCTATACCACCATATGAGGAATGCCCATAGAGTGGACGCCACCAATTCGAATAACCTAGCTGATTAGCGGATGACAGTTAACGGATTCAGAAGTCTTCAGATCACGCCTTCAGATGTCTTCAGAGGTATTCAGATGTCTTCAGAGGTATTCAGATGTCTTCAGAGGTATTCAGATGTCTTCAGAGGTATTCAAGAGTCTTCAGTTGTATATCAGACACCATAGCGTTCACATCATGGAGTCTTAACCACATTCATCAGAGCAAGCATTAGATAGATATCACTGTGCAGATTATGATAATGCTTATGGACCGAAATATGTTGACGGCAGATGGACACTTGGACATAAGAATCTACGCTTTGAGGACCAATACATAGGCGTAGATAATGTCGATTTTAAAAGTACTCTGGGTCTTTTGGAATTATTATTTTCCAAGAACCCTCGAAATTACACGCCTCTGGATCACCAGATGTATAAACAGATGCTAGAAATCAGCTCTATTCATAGAGATCGATTAGGGCGATTACGAGGACAAGCTGATAAGGAGAAATTTGATAAAATTATCAGACCCCTCTTCAAAAATAAGACCAAGCCTAAACGTCCAAAGTCGAGCGTGGAGCCTGAAGCCAGTATTGGGAATGAAGAGTACAATATTTTAAATGAATGGACAGATCCGAATATCTTGGTGGATAGACTGAGATATTTAATGGAATCAGATAAGAACAACGATGAGATTGCCTTTATTCTTACTGAACTTGAAAATGTTGGTATAATATCTAAGAAATAAATGATGTCAAAATTATCCGTTTTTTATTCAACACCTGCTAGGCGAGTAGACTCACAATGACTACTCAACTTGGCATACAAAAATATATATTTAAAAACCCTGTATAATGACTGGTAGGTAGTGTAATGAAATCATAAACTTGGCTGACTTGCTGACTGTCTTTGGTCGACTGACATTTTTACGATGATAATCACTCTAAGAGTCACAAAAATGAAAAACGAGGTAGCGACATTTCTTGCTGACCCGCCCTGTATAGCAGAAATATTTTTTAGTGTGGGATATTGAATATTAGGTCTAGGACTAAAAACAGCTCTTGTTTCAGCTTGAACAGCTGTTTTTTGTGTGATTTCGATAGTTCCTTGTATCTCATATGGAACGATAAGAGAATCAATAATAATAGGATTATTTCCTTTATTATCCGTTAATTTTAGTCTATAACTCAGCTGATTTAATCATCTTTCTAGGCTTTGAAAGAATATGATTTTCTGTATACGCCAAATATAGAACAACCAAGATAACGGCATCCTGTTTGAACGCTCCAACTTGAACAGCTGTTTGATTTCGGTAGTTCGTTGATTTCGTGAAAAGACGATAAGAGAACCCGTGTATGTCTTTTATACCAACTCGTTAATTTTTGTCTATAGCTCATCTATTGTAAGAGTATCAGATTTTGAAATATTCGGCGGATTCAGTGGCAGATAAAATGCATAACAATGCTTGAATATAATATGCACACATGAAGATAAGCCTCTCAATGTATAGGGTGAATCAGTCAGTATAGTCGGACAGTGGACTGAGTTTTAAAAAAGAATCATATTATGTGATGCATGAAAGAAATGCTCAATAGATCATATTATCAATAAGCCAAAAAGAAGCAACAAGTTGTGTTCTTCTTTGCCAGTAGTCGGACACTTGTCTTTTATCGTGCAGAGTGAATGAAAGCACTCAAGTATGCTGCATAAGTTAAATCATACGAGCATTCTGTGTGAGTTATATACTACGCGTTTTCTATGACTACAGCAAAACTCTTCAGCTTGCTGATTTTCTCACAACTAATAGTCTGTCATTTCATGAAATACGATATTGGAACATGGTGTATGTTTATGTGGCAATTTTTGTAGAAAAATCAATTTATATCATACTTAACTAGAATACATTGGGCTGATAATTGAATAGGGTGTTCTCCTAGGAAAAAGCACCTAAAATTCAATCAAAACTGTATTCGTACTTATTCCTATACCAAAGCCGGCGGCTAATTTCATCGATAACAAATTGGAATGATTATACTAAATATTCCTCAATAAGATTACCAAAGAACCTGCTTAACTTCATGAACCATGTAATAAACGACAAAATTTAAATATATCTCTTCAGCATATTCATTGCTGAATTTATTTGTTATACCAGCCGATAGATGGCGGTACAACTACGTTGCTAAGAGTTACTGACAGCCGTCGGCCGAGCGTCAACAAATAAATATGAGCCTCAAACAACTGTTATCATCTTCCATTGGTTATTGCACTGCACCGAACTTATATATTTTCGGATTCGAATTGTTACCTTATATCTGCAAATAGGTCGGTCATTCTCAGGATTTCAGAATGAAAATAATTCATACCGTGTCATCCATCACTGTCATCGAATAAAAAACATCCTAAAAGTTTCTTCAAGATGTTCCATATCAAGTACCATAAATGTCTCTGGTACATCCCGTATCATCCCACAAACATTCTGATGGGATGTCTATAAGACATCGCAAATGCTGACAAGAATGACCCAAGGAAAATAGGGATTTTCCAGAGTTGTTCCTATCATCCCATATGGATGGTTCTACGACGTCTTACTGATGTTATTGTGTTATTAGGGCATGCGCATGGTGAGCGATGCCACACTCACTAATTCTTAGAAAACATCTGAACAAAACGACTAAGTTCATCATAGGAAGTGTTTCCAAGATCTCCAAATGCGAAATCTCTGAAATTTTCTGTGTATCATTGGGATGGGTAGTGAGTGTAAGAGAGAGTGAGAAGGTAAAAAAGTGAGAAGAAGAGAGAGGGAAAGAGATGTAATAAGATGTGGGTTAAAAGTATGGATGTAAAAAACAGTTGTATCATGTCTTCTGACGAATACAGACGTGCACTAGAAGAATTTGGGTTGAAAGTTAGAAAGCTCAGTGCAGACATCCAATTGTATGAGCAGAAAGTTTGTTTGTTCAAAGATTTTGAGCAATTGAGTGTTTGGGACAAGGTGTTCACAGAACCGAGACGTTCAGTTGCAACGTTTCCTACATCGAGAAGAATCCAACCAACACAGCTACTAGATGGCGATACTGAAAGCAAGCTTCATTCTATTGACAGCTCTGAGCAACAACGTCTTCTACACAAACATACCGTACAATACGAGGAATGCAGCCGTATGTTTTGATGTGAATCGTACACAACAGTGTGATTGGAAGCTGATGAGTAGAATGTATGTCAATGATAACAAACTACCTGTATATTCAATCGACATGCCTCGAGTCAATGGGACCACCATCGAGTACAAATTGAAATTATCGTTTTCTGATGGCAGTGACGGCGAAATGGGAGACTGGCAGACATTTACATTGAAGAAATCCCCCGCAAAATTAGATGATGATCAATATTCTGTCAATATCATTGCAATTTTGACACTTTGTTGTACACTAATATGTTCACTCATTTTAATCTCACATGTTATTTTCATTATACTGAGAAATAAGGGATGTGATGAATAAAAACTCTGAAATTATTATAAAGTTTTTTATTTTGGCAATAAATTACATAACCAATTATATAAAGTATCGACATTGTGGAGACTGCACTGGAACCTTCCTCCATGGAAATGATTCATGCAAGGTGGAATGGATTGTTGAAACGTTATTGGCTGCCACCAAGAATTGTCAAAATCTTCCAAATTAACAATGTGATTGGTCATCTCCAACTCTGCACATTTTCGCTGCAAGAACTGAATCTTTTGATGGCCTCTTACGTAGATGATGTTTGTCTGCTGCAGGTTATCTCGTAGTATTTGATCCAACTCATTCAAATCCACATAACCACTGGAATATTTTAAACCATGAACGTAACGCTCCACATGATTTGCCATCTTTTTATCTTCTTTGTTCAAACTGGAAAACTCTACAGATGGCTTGAATAGAAAATGACTCGTCTTTTTGCCAATGCGAATGGTCATTTCCTTTGGAATGAATTCACCATCAACCATGAACCCTTGAATGTCAACCAGTGCGATCTCCATGACTCTTCGAAGCAAACTGACGTCTGACTGATGCAGCAACACCCACCTAGGCAATATTTCGAACGATTTCGCTGAGTGGGAGATGTTCCATGATTTGATCGTGAATGATGATGCAATAGGCTTTGGTGTCGGGAGGGAAGCCTGTAGTCGCTTCAATGTCCAACTTTATGTCAACTGTGGACGACTTTAGACCCAGATGGCGCCTCGAGCAATCGATAACAAACATTGGTCGGGATTTGAATTCGGCAAAGTTTACTAGAGAGCGCTTTTCTTGACAGTTATGGTAGCTCTTGTTGAACTCTGTATAGTTGAAGTGGGCGTCAGCATATTGGTCTCGGGAAAAGTCCAACAGCATTCGTTCTTGCGGATAATAGTCGCTATTCAGAGCCAATCGTATGGATTTGATGTTGGCATTATCGAACAAGGTGACGTCTTCATGCAAATTATCGGCTTTTTTCGTTTGGAAAAATACTATAACATATCTTGGACTGTCCAATGCAGAACATGTCTTGACGGACCAGATTTCTATGGTAGATCCTTGTGTGAGTGCTGGTAGCTCGTGCAATTCCCATCGGCGAAACGGTATCATCATAGACTCATCTGCTTTGATACGTGTCAACAACTGCAACTTTATGTCATCGTTGGGTGTGAGATGTGGCACTTTCAAATTGATGCTTTCTATCGTTATTTTAGCAATACTTTGAGTCTGAGGAGATCCTGGCAAAGCAGTATTCGCTCTCTCGACAACCTTCACACTATTGGCATCATTGCGAGCTCTCACTAAACGGATTGACTGCTTGCCCCACGTTGCCACTTGATGATCATTGAAGATGGAAAACAAATGTTTCAGTGGAATGTTCATGCTAAACGTACCATCGGTGTTGAGGATCGGAGCATTGGGATAGTTCCAGCCTGCTATGGCTAGATGACGTGAGTCTTCAGGCGTATAACATAAGTATCCTCGCACAGTACTCGTTATTCCAGGATATCTGACAGTGTCCAATTCTTTATTACACAATTCATAGGTGCAGGAATCAAAGAGATAGGCTCCAGCATTGTGGGTTAATGTACCAGTACCACCACCGGTCACCTTCAATTTACCCTTGATGGTAATGATGCCTTCAAACATGGCCAACCACGAATCTGCTTGATTAACCGTTATATCGATGACATCATTGTTCTCGAATGATTTCACATATGGATAATAGGTACGCCATTCCACTTTAGTGATGCTTTCGTCGAGTCTGGGTTTGCGGAAAACGTCGAACACGGGTGCTAACAACATTGTAGTCTTTGAGTGATTTCAGAAACAGGACACTGGATAATGTCAATGTTTTTCTGTTGCTGCTGCTCTTCGAAGACACGACTGCTTTGGTGTACGGTGTCGAGAGAACTGGTGCCGATGATGTTGCTGATGATGGTATATTATCTGATTTGAAGGAGTAATCAAACACTAGTACCATCTTGCGAGTTTCTTCAATTCCAATCTTATGATGATTTCTTCACCTCTAAAATTCACCTGCCTGAAATCTTGGTCTAGAATCTGGAGTGTAATGTTGGGCAATTCCCGCCTGCTGACTATAGGTAGATAGATTAGATTTCTGGGAGTCTCGTCTATGGCGTAACCAGGATCGACTGCAACTGCAAACTCGTAGATCGTATGTGATGGTCTGTCGTTGTAGAGAGCTCCAGCAGTAACGTTGCTATCAATGTGAATGGTTCTCACTTTGGTTATGCTGACCGGCAAATCGGAAGTGTGGACTTGTTGTGCGTTCAACAATCTATTTGAAAATCCCAAGACTTGAGCTATGCTATCCTTCGGGCGAAAATCAATGGCAAACTGTTTGCTCGAAATCTCACACTTTAGTGTATTATTGTTGGGCTTCAACGAGAATATATCATCAACGTCCTTTGCACTTGAGATGCCCAATTCTTTGCGTATGAATTTCTCAATGTCCACAATGTCGTATGAACCTTCGGGAATATCGATGATCTTTCCCGCCTTGGTCTTATCTTGCAGATAAAACTTTGATCCTTTGTCGATATTCGGTATACTGTTGTATGAATGGAATCCCAACAATGCTAGTCCGTAATCAGAGTCTGGATCGAGTTGGAGTGGTGTCAAAAAGTCTATGGAGAGCGTAGATGTACGACCTTTCAACGTCACAATCAGAGACATGACTGATGCACAATGACCGAGTTACTTGGTCTCATTAAAAAGGAATTCTAAATATAGACGTCCACAATTACTTTGATTGAAATTCTGGTATTGATTGTTATTGTACAAGATTTTCGTGCTGGCACCCAAATATTGCGCCAATTCTCTGGGCGGTTTCAGATTGCCATAACTATCGAAATATAAGGCTTTTTTATCATTTTTTATGTAAGCCACCCAATGAGTGCCCGCATGATTGGAGGTATCCAAATTCAATACAGCACACTCGCGATGCCATGGACCGGTGGAAGGTAGAGTGTCCCGCATAAAAACACCTCGAAAATACGGTATTTTCAGCTGTTTGGCATACTTTATCACATCTTTATCGTACATTGATTTATTGGGTAGCTTGTCTAGAAGTTTTTTGAGTTTTTTGATTGTTTCTTCAAGTACAGTCCGAATCCTCTCGATGTTTTGCGTAGAAATAGGCCGGAACCCTGCTTGCCGATAGCCTCCATTGCTTTATTATGTCTTTGATCTTCTTCGAGCTTTTTCTTTGCATTTTTCGCATCAATGACTGTCTTTGCGACTGCTCCGGCTCCTCCAGCTAGAGATCCTAGGGCTCCCAAGGCGGCAAAGATTGGTATCAATGGTAGTATACCGCCACTGTGTGGAAGAGGTATGATTCTTGGTACTCTGATTCTTTTTTTACCGCCAGCCCTCTTGACTGCCATTCTGGCTGCATGGAGTGCTTTCAATGCAGATTTATTCAGACCACTTCCTGATGTTGTACTACCACCACCATCTGACTTTGATAGTACATTTTTTATGAATTTGATAATGTTGGATAGGGATTGCTGTGATACAAGACCCATGCCAAGTTTTCGTTTGACCTTCATTCCGGTGGTGACAAGCCAAGCAGCAGCCTTCTCTTTGAATTTAGCGTTCTTCGACTTGACTCTCTCCCACGCTCTATTTTCCAATATCCAATCAGCTTTGTGTCTGTCTTCTATTGAGGAATTTTGTGAATAGGCGATATCGTGTTCTCGACACGCGTCGTCCAACGGATTGATACCGGTGTCTCCTCTTGCAAGTCTTTTATCGAGTTTGGTACCTGGACCACAAAATCTGTAGCCTGGAATGTGTAATTCGATGGGAAGTTTATCGATCAGAGAATTAAGCACACCCTCTCCGTGGTAGAGCAACATGAAGACTGATGTGTAGGAAGTTCGACAACTCTGCATATACCTAATGAAATGAAAAATATATCATCACATGATGAAGATCATTCAACAAGAACGGATGTTACCCATTGTGAATTTGGATGAAATTTTGTCAACCAAACCACCAGTAAATAGTAAACATGGGAAACTGCTTCCCCATTCGTTCAGAGCAATCTTCTGCGGACCAAGCGGATGTGGAAAGACCAATGCGATGCTTTCCCTGCTGTTCAATCCAAATGGCGCGAAATTCAAGAACGTTTACGTGTATTCAAAGTCGTTGTACCAACCGAAATATCAATTGCTGCAACAAGTGTTGGATTCAGTGAAAGGTGTTGGGTATTTTCCCTTTAAAGAAAATGATGATGTCATCAGTCCATCAGAAGCGAAAAATCATTCGATATTCATTTTTGATGATGTATCATGCGACAAGCAGCAAAAAATTCGAGAATATTTTTCAATGTGTAGACACAAGGATATTGACGTAGCATACCTTTGCCAGACTTTTTCTAAGATACCGAAGCAGCTGGTGCGAGACAACAGTAACCTGTTGGTGTTATTTCGACAGGATGAAATGAATTTGAAGCATGTGTTCGACGAGCATGTCTCACCAGACATGTCATTCGATCAATTTAAAGCATTGTGCTCAGAGTGTTGGAATTCCAACCAATATGGTGCGATGGTGATTGCAAAAACTTTCGATATGAATGCTGGCAGATATAGAAATGGTTTCGATAAGTTCATAAGACTGTGATCTCTGGACCATTCATCAAGATGACGTCAACCAAGATGCATGATGATGTTGCTGATGCGCTGCGCAAGAAAAAAATCAACGAACTATCGAAATCAATCAGAAGAAAATATTTAGCACTAAAATTGGGCAAGTCTGAGGATGATGATGCGTTACAGAAAATATTCCAACCACTGACATCACCTTTGAAACAAATTGCCTCCGCGTCCAAGGTCATAGAAGAAAAACTCGATGGAACACTTTCAAACATCAAGCGAAGCAGAGCAAAATCGTTGGGGTTGAAGAAGGAGAAGAAGGAGGAAGAGGATGGGGAGGTGGAGAGGGAGCAATCGGATTTGAACCAAACTAATTTCATACCTATGATGGATGTGGCTGATAATGCTGGGCATACTGAAGATGATGATGAGGATGTCGATGATGACGATGCTGTTGATGATGAACTTTTTGTAGATAGTGAAAATATCTCACCGGCTGCAATACATGATTACGTTGATCAGTATCCTGCGATGGCTCAAAAATATCTGACTGAATACTGGACAAATGATGAAAATATCGATACGGTTTATGGCCCCAAATATGATCCAGTAACATCGAAATGGTCTCTCAACGGAAAAGAAATGAATTTCCATCGAAGAACTGGAGATATACTTCTTGATGGCTTTCGGTTCCGTGGCACCCCAGGCCTCTATCAATTACTCTTCTATAATGATCCATCCTTTGCCAAAGATGATACGAACCCATACAAGCAAATACTCTTGCTCACCAAAGCTCATCTGAATTCTGCAGGACGTATGAAGTCCTCCTCTAGACTCAAATACGTAGAAATTATTCGTCCAATGTTCAGATCCAATTCCAGTGGTCGTGGTTTGAAGTTGACATACAACACAGCACCTATCGAATACATGTATTGGGATGATCCAAACGAATTGGTAGATAGATTGAAGTTGCTCATTGCATCACAGCAAGCCGGAAATACATCAAACGATAACGAGATTGTTGCCATCTTGAACGAATTAGAAGAGGCAGGCATAATAAAACATGTGTGACATTTCTGTGATACTTCCGTGACACTTCCATGACAACTTTCGTGACAGTTCCGTGACACTTCCTTGACACTTTCGTGACAGTTCCGTGACAGTTCCGTGACACTTCCTTGACACTTCCGTGACAGTTCCGTGACACTTCCTTGACAGTTCCGTGACACTTTCATGGCATGTCTATGAGTGAAGGGGCTAATAATTGGCGAGGCAAAGTGCCGACCATTATCGATAACGTACAATACTTTAGTCATTAGCATAATGAGTCTCGACAAATTCGGACGTGGTTCGTTTCCACGCTCAGCTCAGATGGTGACAGTCAGATCTGGATTTTCACATACTCCAACCGGTGATATTGATGTTGGTCATTTGAAGATGTGTAACGTAAAACTGCCAACAGATGTCGCTGATGTTGCAAACAAACAATATGTGGATGAAGTTATATCGCAAATTAAGTTAGATTTCAAGATTGCTTTCGATAATTACGGTGAAAAAATCCGAAATTACCTTGCTGGCTTCAGCAACGAAATAATCAAAGAAAGGAAGAGAGTGGATGTACATGATCTTAAACTAGCAACGTACAATACAAACT